TGGATTTGTAGGGGACGGCCGGGATTGAACATTTCAGGTTTAGCAGCAGCCATGTTTTTAATTAGGGATATGGACATTTCTGTGTAATTTAGTCCAAATCTCTGATGCACACGTGAAGGTTTTTCCAAGGAATTTCTGACCATTGGTGATGAGAGTTTGCCAGACGTCCTGTGGACAAAGCAATCATGCAAAAAGAGGTTTATTGAATAGACGCTTTAATCACATGACCAGACAAAACAACTACGAGGGCTGCTGACAGCACATTCATTTTAAAACACAGAAGATCTTCTTACACATGAACACAATATTGCTCCAAAATAAAAATAATTGGGAAAAACTGAACCCGAGTTAAAAAATAAATAAAAATGTCCACAAATTAATACTAAAAATAAAAATATTAATAATAATAATATTCAAAACATTGTAAAAAATAATACAAATATACTGAAAATCTAAAACTAAACTGAAATGAGAAAACACTTCTTTAAAAAAATAATATAAATAATATTATAAAATAATATAAATAATATATCAAATGCCTAATATATAAAAATAAGTTGTATATATTTCATTTTATATAAAAAAAAAAATACTGCAAATCTAAAACTACACTGACTGAAAAAAATAAATTGAAAATAAATGTTATATATATATTTATCAAAAATAATTGATCAAATATATTGTAAATATAAAACTAAACTGCAACTAGAAATACACTGACAGAGTGAATTTCATTGAAATGACAGACATAAAAACTACATTTAAATATCAAAAGAATATATCAAAATAAGCCCGAACTGCAGCACCTTCAGCTCATGTGTTTCATGTGTCACCCAGCTTCATGTTAAATGCTAATCCTAACCCGACACGTTAGCCCTTCACACACACTTAATCACACACACATTGCATGAGGCTTTGCCAGGCTTTTTGCCGGACACAAAACGGGGTCACCGCTCTCTCCTCCCCAGACCAGCCCAGACCAGAGTCTGAATCTGAGGACATCTGGGTGTCATAAAAGTTATGAGAAGAGGACACTGATCATCTCTTAAGCTACATTCAGACAGGAAATGGCCCAATCTGGTAATAAAATATTTAAGAGAATCTCATAATGTGACACCACTGTCATTTCATGCTGTCCGTGAGACGTTTTAATGTGACAGTCAGCATTTCACAATAGGTTCTTTATTTATTTTTTCAAATTTTTAATAAAGAGAGAATCTGTTGAGTGAGTTCAGGGACGCAGTTGTGCCCTTGTGTCAGTTTTTAAGCTGTAATATAAAGTCTTCATTTGTGTTTTCAGTCTCTCGACCTTATTGCTATAAGTACTGCGTTCTGTTACGCAACCACTTTTACTGAAGATTTGCACACACTGTCCTTAATTCTACAATAATATCTTTGTCTCTCCATGCAAATGATGCCTCAAGTTCATTTATCTGGATCTGCTTCGAGCTGTTTTCAGTTAAAAAAAAACAAACAAACAGAGAAAGAGATTTTATATTTTTTAAATATGTTCATAATATATATATATATATTTCTGTTTTAAACATACCTGGATGGAGTAGTGACTATTGTGATAATTTTAATAGTTAAATAAGTATTAATTATATGCGTCTCGTCTACTACAGTTAAAAAGTATTTGATCTGTATTGGAGGATATAAAATAATATCTCATTTGCTTCATTTCATGTCATTTTACTCTGTTAATTAAATTCTCAACAACATTAATGTGTGTGTGAGTATTTATGGGTAAATAGGAGCAAACCTTGTTTTATTTATTTATTTTTGCTTAAACTATATATAAAATGTATCCATATAAAACCGTACCTGTTTACCGTTGAGCACATGTACATCTCTGTGCCTGTGTGCTGCGTGTTTGTAGACACAGAGGTCAGAGATGGCAGTTCTGAGGCCCTTATGTGTGTGTTTGTGTGTGTGTGTGTGTGTGTGTGTTTGGGATTTAATCTAAGGCGTATGGAGCCGAACCGCTGTAATTATACTCTCACATGTCAGTCAGAGTTGACTGAGCAGCACACAGGACAGTCCATGCCAACACGCCTGTGTGTGTGTGTGTGTGTGTGTGTGTGTGTGTGTGTGTGTGTGAGTGTGTGTGTGTGTGTGTGTGGTGCTTCTAGAATGATTTTGCCATTTTTCAGAATGATTTTGATTCATTTGAGTGGTGCTTTACATGAGTGTACTGTATGAACGCGAATTAAGTCAGACTTATAGACCTATATCAAACTTTATACAAAGAGACGGGCAATAATATAGTTACTAAATAAATCAGGCAGTTGAGATTTAGTATATATCACATTATGTGACTGTATTGTATGTGTGCTATATCCAACTTTATATAAAGAGCTGGCTGATAATATAGTTACATTTTGCTACAATACAAACAATAACACAGTTGAGATTTGCTATATAGTGTATTGCTTTAGGTGAGTGTATTGTATGTGCAGATAAAGTACTTTATATGCAACTTCTCATAAGCCCAGGTCGCTCCTGCAGTCATCCACCAAATGAAAATTATGAATCTGATCAATTATGATGAGTTTTGCATGAGCAAACACCACTCAAATTGTCTTCAGCAAATGTCATGTTGTTTTCATTACCGTATTCATGTGGATTGTTTGAGGGACACATTGAGGTTCAGCTGGTGACATGAAGGTGACACAAGGGCACACATTTGGGATGCTGGTTGCCTAGTTGTGAGGGATCTGGGATGATAATGGAGAGTTTCCCTCAGGACAGACACTGTAATTAGTGCACTGCGAGGCTATGTTGATTAATTCCGCCTGTTTGCACTCATTACTCCCAACAGCAGCACGTCCTGCAATGAAAAACAAAGTTTATTCAGAACATTTGACACTCATTTTTATATCAGTGATACAGCAACTGTGTGTGAATGCATATGATGAAGAGCATTAAGGGAGGGTGGACACATTTGCCAGGGATTTGATGGTTTAGTTTTTGTGTTTGTGTGCCCTTGACCCGTGTTTTGCTGGAGGTCAGACCAGCTGCTGAGCTCTCAACATATTGCAGCTATCTGAAGATCTGCAGTGGCTTTTCTGTGTAAAAGGGAATTATAGAAGTAAATAGGGCGGAGTATATGTGTGTGTGTTTTATCTATTAAAAAGAAAGAGGAATTGTGTTTTTTCATTGTAAGTGAGAACAAATAAAACCCTGCTCATTCATTGTCCTTATTTAAAAAATAAAATAAAAAAAACACTGGAGAGAGGACTCATATTTTAACTGGAAGCAATGGTTTGAAGTTAAAAATGTCTTGATGGATTTGTTTCTTAAACATGCAGTTTTCACTTCACCCAACATTAACTGATGGAGTGGAGCTGCTACATTTCTCCAAATCTGTTCCTATGAAGAAACAAACTCATCTATGTCTTGAATGGGCTGAAGATGAATACATTTTCAGCAAATTTTCATTTTTAGGCGAGCTATTCCTTTAATAATACTTTTGAAAAATCTGTTTAAAAGCATGTGCCCTCACACGATATATTGTGGCCTATTGAAAGCAGGTGTATTTGCCTCAAACATTGCCTTTTAGTGACACAGTGGCGCAGAAATACACATGACGAACATGCAGCCACATGAGCGTCTCCTTGCGCCGGTGCACCTGCCACCTTGTTTTTCAGTGCTCACATTCACTCCACATCTGCTTCCACGAACAGCAGCTGTAATGCTTTATGAGGCTTAACTCACCGCTGTCTGTTTCTTTGTGCTTGTGTTTATGTCTGTGTTTGTTTTATCGGCACCTCAGGGTTTAGTCTTAACACCTGACTGTTAACTTACTTTACTTAGTAGCTGATTTGTGTTGTTTTTGTTGTTGCACTGCTGATCCTTGACCTATCTATAGCTACATGTGATGAAAACAACACTCTCCTATAGGTCGCTTCAGTCTGCAGGCAATGTAAATAAACGTCACACAATAAGGAAGTAGGGTTATTGATGCTTTTATTCAATAAGGATGCATTAAATTGATCAAAAGTGATAGTAAAGACATTTATAATGTTATAAAAGATTTCTATTTCAAATACATGCTGTTTTTTGAACTTTCCATTCATCAAAGAATCATGGGGAAAAAATGGGTTCTATAGAAAATATATAGGAAATATTAAAGAATTGTTTCTCGAGCAGTAAATCAGTATATTAGAATGATTTCTGAAGAATCATGTGACACTGAAGACTGGAGCAATGATGCTGAAAATTCAGCTTTGATCTCATTTTAAAATATATTTGCATAGAAAACACTTGTTAAATTGTAATCCAATTCAAAAACATTATAAATTCTTATTTTGTTATTGATAACACTGGGAAGTCCAAATTATTTTAGTGAAACAGCTCGTTTGGATGGTTGCCTCTTCTTTTGTGTTTTCTAGTTTTATTAGTTGTATTTAGTATAAATGCATCTGTTCAATTTAATGCCAACACTCTAAGTGAGATACTCATTGTGCCAAATAAATACTGCTAACCAAGTAAAAATATTCAACTACCACCCTCATATGCCCACAAAATCACCTTCAAGTGATTTTCTGCTCAGTTTTAGCCTGTTCCAGACAGATCCAGCTCTGATGTGTTATATAAGTGACGCAGAAAACTTCAAATCCAGGGTGAAGGGTCAGTCAGATGGTGTGTGTGTGTGTGTGTGTGTACCTGTTTTTCTATTCTGGTGGGGACTTAAACCTGAATACACACAGACTCATGGGGACTCGTGTCACGGTGGGGACCTAAATTGTGGTCCCCATGGGTAAACAAGCTAATAAATCACACAGAATTAAGTTTTTTGAAAATCTAAAAATGCACAAAGTTTCCTGTAAGGGGTAGGTTTAGGGGTAGGGTTGATGTAGGGCAATAGAATATACGGTCTGTACAGTATAAAAACCATTACGCCTATGGAGAGTCCCCACAAGGATAGCAAACCAGACATGTGTGTGTGTGTGTGTGTTAGAGTCAATGTAGTTTTTACCGTAAAAACAGTGGACGCCATGTCAGCTGCTACAGCGGCAGCTGGTAAATGTTTGAATTTTTGCATATAAATAATTTTTTTTTTCTCCAAATGTTGTTTTTACACTAGGCAAATTTTATCTCATATTGTAGTAGCTGGTCGGTGGCAGGTGGAAAGTCCCTGGCAGCTGCCCCTTACCAAAAAGTAGTATACTTCAAGTTTATTTTAGTAAGTATACTTAAGTAAAGTTCAAGTATATTTTCAAGTATACTTTATGTAGCAAGTATACAAATATCAGTGTACTAGTAGTATACTTGTAAGTGTACTATTTCAATACTCCTTTCTAGTATATAAAAGTATATTTTAAGTATAACAGTAGTAAACTTTGAGTACACAACTAGTTAAACGTAGATAAAGTCGATCAACACCCCAAAGCTTGACAGTCATTATTACCTCTTCATTGGTCGACATTTTATACCAAAACGTTACACAGTTTTGATGCTGTTTTATGTCTGATGATCGCGTTAGAATACATGTGGAAGCATCTGTTGTTTCGGTTTCTTCACTTGTGTTTTTTGGAAATTCTGTACAGACGCTGTGTACTAGCGCCCCCTACAGTATAACAATGAAAACACGGATTCTAGGAACACAAGTATAGCTCAAATATATTTAGACTTTTTCTAAGTATAAGTCAAGTATACTTAAATGTCATTTTAAGTATATTTCTGAGAAGTACATAAAGCCCATTTCTGAGAAGTACATAAAAAGTAGACTAAAAGTATACTTTCCTATTTTTAGTTTAAAAGAAGTATACTAATAGCACACTTGAATAAACTTCTTTTTCGTAAGGGGCCAGAAACAGTGGCAGCTAAGCACAGTGAATGTTTTAAATGATTACATGATTAATGTGTTTTTAATGTAATTTTTACAGTATACAAATTACCTCAAACTGTGGAAAGTCCGTGGCACTTGAGCATATAAATGAGTAGCCTAACAGTCCTATGATATCTACATCAGTGGTTCTCAGCTCCAGTCCTCGTGTACCACCGCTCTGCACATTTTGTGTTTCTCTCATCACTTCAGATGTTTGTTCTATTCGACCGTAAGTGCCCTGCGAAGTGGACACCACAGAATATTCAGCCATGATTCCAGTTCGAAGGAAGCGTATATGTTCAATTCAAAGAGCATTAAAGTGCGAGATGTGAATTTAAATTGGATTTATTTACAGAGGTATATTATGTCACTTCTCTAGTCAGTTTCGTCTGTGTGTGAAGTCAGATACTGCAGACCGTGGCGTAACGCAGATCCGTGAATGAATGTTCCGAAGTGAAGTAGACTAAACATCTTGGGATTTCCCCTGATCATGCATGGAGCTCTCTTCCAACGAACCGATGATCTGAATTAGGCGTGTTAAATAAGAGAGACATGCAAAATATGACTGGAATGGAGAATCACTGCGCTAGCTACAGCATTTCAGAATATTCTTCAATATTTTGCAAGAGTGTTTGCAATAAAATGCATACCAATTTGAACATTTAGATGCAGTTTTAACAGTGACTTGTGTCCAAATACATGTCACCTCCACTGCATATTAATTGAGAATCAAGGACTCGCAGATGAGAATAGACAGATAGATAGACAGATAGATAGATAGATAGATAGATAGATACTTTTTTCAAGTAACTGGTAAAGTAACGTATTACTTTTTAATTTACAAGATAATATCTGAGTTACTTTTTCAAATAAGTAACGCAAGTTACTTTGTTTCCAATTTATTGATTGGCAGCTCTCCTGTCCCCATGTTGAGAGAAATCAGATGTTACTGTAGTTCTAAAATAAATATGAATATGCATTAATCTCACTCACAAAAAAAAAAAAAACACAGATTCAGTATTCCTCAAAATGAATAAAAATAATGCAACTCAGAATATGACGCAAACCTGCAATAATTAAATGTTAAACAACACAAATATCCTTTATGCATTTAATCCCATTCTATTAACCAATGTCTTTGCTTCTGACCTTCGATGATCCAGTTCAACCGTACTAATAATCACAAATTACTCTAGACAAACATTTGTGTGTCTTTGTTTATTGCTGAAGTGTGTTGAAATTTCTTCTTCTGCATTCTACTGTACGGACGTAAATTTACTTTCCCTTCAGCCTGAGGCTTATTCATTTCACTTTTGGTGTGAAAAGGCTTTTATATTTGCCAAAAATATAACTTTTTTATTTTAAAAACAAACAAGCAAGCCCTGTCCAGATTTAACAAGTAACGTAATGCATTACTTTCCATTAAAAGTAACTAAGCAACGTAATTAGTTACTTTTTTTAATGGAGTAATGCAATATTGTAATGCATTACTTTTAACTGTAACTTTCCCCAACACTGTGAATCATTGCATTTGTCTGTTTCAAAGATGTCAGGGGAAAAGCAAAAGAGTATTATTTCATTCTGGGTAGGCTACCAAAGGGTAAAAAAAAGGTTGTCAGATCAGAAGTGGAGATGACAGCAAGGGAGATAGTAGGGGAGAAAGTAGAGACCATAGAGGAGTCAGTGAATGGATGAATCAGTGGACAAGACAGGGAAGAAGAAAGCATGGAGCAGCCACACACACACACAGCTTGGCATACATGCTCAGGGCAAGTTCTGCAATCCTACTGTGTGTGTACAGTATGTACATTGAGCACTGCTGATCAGTTGGCTCGTTTAGGGCCAACATTATTTTTCTTTTTGATACATCTGAAATACATAAAACAATTTATTTTATTTGGATGAATTTGTCTGCCTTTTATCAGATTTACCCATTTCTGTCTGTGCTGGTCAATTATGAACAATATTGAACTGCGAGCAAAAACTTGAGAGAATTGCGTGGGGCTACTGCTGCAAATATTTGAGTGGCTTCTCCCCTGACAGATGTAATCTCACTCCAAACTTTTGATCAATATTGCGAGCCCTTGTATATCTGACATATAATGCAACACACAGATATAACATCAGATGGCACTATAATATTGTAAATCGAGAGCTGAACTCTAATTCTATTGTATGTACATTAAATGAAGGTAAAAACTTAAAATTAAAACCTTTCAAATTAAACGCAAGTGAGTGTAATGGTAAATAACTGTAATGGTTTCAAGTGAGTTTAAGCAAAGACTAGGCCTATAGAAATAAGTTCCGTGTAGTGAGCTAGACACACGTCATTTCAAGTGTTGCCAAGTCCGCGGAACCCCGTCGACCCCCAACAAACC